ATTGCGATAGCGAGACCATGGATAAAAAAGAGCGGATCAGGTCAAGTAAATTGGAATTCAAGAGACTCGATGAACTGTATGTCTGAATTTGGTGTAGAGTTGACATTAAGAGCTGTTATGGATTGCTAATTCTACGCCAAACCAGATACAATAAAACAACACATGATTTTTATTTCGCGGAATCCTCGCCATCACCCGCAGGCAAGGAGGATAAGTGGGAGGAGTTCTTATTCGTAATCAGACGAAGATTTGGTTTGCAAATCCCTGGGAAAATCCGTTTGACTGTGGTGGAGAAATTAATTGGCGGAACCATGGAGATATTATGGATGTGTATTTGCCCCCCGCTGTACTGGCGATGTGACGTTCAACTCTGGCACTGAAATATAGGGTATGCACTCCTCCCCCCCGTTGGATCTAAGAAAAAAGTGTAATTGTTGTCACCCCTTGCCCTACTATTATGTAGTGCGCCATATTACTCGAGTGTGGTGCGTGCAGTACTGTAGGGTAGTCTCATGTGCTACGTTTAACTGGCCAGAATGAATCCTCGTCCACGTAAGTACTGCTTGCCTGCTGACCGCTCCTTGTACAAGGTGATATCTTGATTTTTGTGCCCCCCCCCGGCCACGCACCAGCCTGTGCTCCCTTCTTCAACCACTCGTTTCCATCTCACCTTACCCTCCCACCATTTCTCATTCCACATCCTACTCATCATCGTCACAGCATCACCATCGCCACCATCATCACATCCCCCTCCTTTTTACGCCTTCTGCTTTCCTTGGTTTTACTAGTGAGTCGGAGATAAATAGAGGTCAACCACTCAGAATTTATCTCAATAGCCTCCTATTCGCTGGGCCCGCTCCCCTGTACTTACCGCTCCTTCTGCTGTGCACTCTGAGAGTTCCAGGAGGCCGTCCCCTAACCGGCTTCGATCCCTGGGTATGGAAGGGGTGGGAGATATGGCATTGAATCATGCGTGGAGAGGGGTCGCCGGCCGGGAATGGTCAGCTGCCTGAGCGTACCTTCACTCCGGGAATACCTTCTGTGTGCCCTTCGAGCCATCTGACCCTCTCTAGGTTTGATTCGACAAAGACCCGACGGAGGGTCCACCATAGGACATATCCCAAAGCATTTTTTTCCTTGCTCACTTTTAGCCCCTAGCTCTATGTATTGTCCCTGGTGCACAGGACGAGCACCCACTAAACAGCCCTCCCTCCGCTGTTTTCCTGGCCAATGCACTTACCGAATCACGATACAATCCAGAGGATAAGGGGGACAAACCACCAGCTAGCTTTGACATTGATGGGGACACTTTCGATCTGTTTGGGCCCTATCTACCCCCGATGGATAGTCCCCCTCCAGGTGTCCATATCGATGTGACTGGTTATAATGCTAACGGGGCTGAAGAGTTTTCCTGGGGCTTTCTTTTCCTGTTGACGTGTCCCGTGTGCTAACGATAAGGCAGGGGCAGCCAGACGGTATCCCAGACGGATGGCACCAAGAATCGTTTTCTTCAGTTCGATACGATAGGATTCTGGCTCAAAACCGTGGGATGTATTGAAGAAAGCGGTAACATGAAGGGGGGTTCGGCGAGGGTGGCGACGATTGGGAATTCTTTGTGGATGATTTGTGGTTGAGGCACGTTGGTATAGGTACAGGTGATTGGGGGATTTACTGACAAGGGATGGGTAACAAAACAGCGCCCCAGATTTCTAATAATGAGGAAGAGCTTTCAGCGGAGAAGTCGGCGACTTGTCAGACGGCTGATGCCCCTGCGAGACCCCCTATGAAATTTTGGGACAACCTGCGGGAATAAAATATTCTATTGTTTAGGTGACGGTTTGTGGTAGGATCGATATATGCTAAGCCTACGATATCTCATCACACCCAGCCCGCGTCGAATTGAAAAGCCTATTATCATGGCCCGTCACTCGCTCTTAGTCACTAGCTCTTCGGAAGAAAAAAAAAAACAAGAGAAGCTATGTGATATGAGTTTGGCTGCCGGGTAATACCCGTATATGGAAAGCAGGCTGAATCGGGAAACGAATTTGTGCCCACCTCCCCGTGGGCTGTTTGTCGCTGGACAATGAGCTAGATACTGGTATTATCATCGACTAGGATGTCGTTGAGTTATTGGTGTGTTGCGGGGGCATCCGGAAATTTTTAGGTCTAAAAAACGCCAAGATTTCTGGGATACTTTTGGAACGCGCCGGTATACGGATTGTATCGGGACTTTTGCATAGCATGATGAAACCGGGCCCGAGGGGACTTGGAAATATTGACCAGGGTCGCGCTAGCCATCCGGCAGGATATCAGTTGGGGGTTACTGGTTCTGGAGATGAATGCCAATCATCTGCGCTTTATTTATTTATGGCTCGAGTGGGTACGTGGTTATACATATCAACTGCAGGAAAGATTTCGGGGCCGAGGTGAAGTGGGCGCAGAAGCGAGTGAGGCAGGGCCTCGCTTCAGATGGGTAGGGATAAGGTATGGGTAGTCGGAGGGGGCCGAGTCACGGGCGGTTTGGTATATCCGTATTATATTGAGCATGATAATATGGATAGTAGACTATAATATTGTGCAACAGCTCCGCGCCCCTCGGGACTGGTATCTGAGGGGTTGGAAGGCAGAAAAAAGAAGGAGGATTTGGATTTGGACGATGGAATGAAGCTTGAGCGCTGACTCTTTCCCTCTTCTGGTGGAGGAAAATTCTGTTGCTTGGCTGCGAAGGCCGGGGGAGGGGGGTCTTGTTGATCCCTGTGCATGCCAATGCAATCCTGCTGCGGTGATCTACCGTATTGACTGACTGATTTTCAGTTGATTGATTGAATTGATTGAGTGTCGTTGTTTCCTCGCCATCTAGTTACCATAGCGCGAACACTCGCAAAGGCCGCGAGCTGAGATGCGCGTTAACTTATAACTTGGACCACTTCTCAAACGGTCGCGCATGTCCTCTAGAATTGAGCAAGTTCTCTAGAATTGAGCAAGTCCGGACCGTAAGGTATTACTCTAGCAGGGCGAGACATCAATAGCCTACATACATACGCACATACACCTAGTCTAGTCAAGTAAAATTTCGGGCAATTAACCGGACTGGAGATTAGATATATGCTATTAAATGCATGTGGTTTGAGTGTGAGTTCGAGATGATTATGTACGCTTTGTCTGGTTGCGAGTGGGTGAGTGGTCGGGTTTCAATTTTGATTTTGATTTTATCTCGATTTTGGGGAGGGAAGGCGACATAACATAAATTTAGTCACGGTCTACCGGTAGCCGGTCGGTCCGGTCGTGGTGGGTGGTATAGTTCAAGCAGAAGGTTTTATAATACAATAATGGGTATCATATTAAAGCGTGTAGTGCATGGTACATACTCCCGCGGCGGAGTTGAGGTTGGAGACCTTAGGTGGCAATTCCCATAGAAAGTGTCCAACATCAACTCGGCCGCGGGAGTACATCCCCGAGTACAGTAGGTAGACTAGCTATTATATCTAACTTTGACGCATCATACTGTACCGGGATGATATGCGGTATTATGTACTCGCACAGTGCGGTAGAGACAAACTTCGCAACCACGGAAAATATATGCCGTAAGCAACAGTGCTTTACAGTGTCGTATGATGTTCCGTGAATTCCGTTTGTCTTTATTTTTATGTTTCTCCTCCTCCTCCTAAGAAAGGAAAGAGAAAAAGAAAAAAAAAAGACGGTTGTTTCCCTCACGAACCCAATCAATCTCTAGCTCGAACCAGCAGCAGCAACTACCCTACCGATGTGGACGAAAATTCTTGGGGTGCATGTGAATTGAGCTGTGACCGAAAAATTGCGATAATTCAGACAACAACCCAGTTCGAGACGAAACCCCTCGTAAAAAAAAAAAAAAAAGTTGAGAAGAAGGCCGTTTTTTCTTTCTTTCCTCTCCTTCTTCCTAGATTGTCCCTCACCCAATCGCCAGGTTGTTAATCGGTAGACTAAAAATTGGCTGCTGTCGCGGCGTCATTAGTTCTAGCATAGGGGAGGGGTGCACGGACCGGATTTTGGTCGGTGTTATCGAATGATCTCTGACACTTGCGATAGCGCGACGCTTGGACGGAGGGAGGAAGGAAGGAAGGAGGGAGGGAGGGAGGGAGGGAAGGATGGAAGGATGGAAGGGAAAAGGGTGGAGGAAAAAGAGAGCTGGCTCGGCCAGGGATTTGATGGGATTGTTGGTACTGTAGTGGGAGTGGCAGGCGTGGCGTGGGGAAGGTTGTGCTTTGTCATGCTGGACTGGGTTTCCAGGATGCATAAATTACCCCCCCCCCTCACCTGTAACTTAAACCGTGTACGGTACGATACGGTACGGTCGCCCGGTGCGAAAGTGTTTTTCCGGTTGTGAGCACATCTGCTATTGTTTATGACGGTGGGAAGGTACTCGAGTATAATAAGTTAGATCTCGATGTGTATGGGGGGGAAACTGTTGAGTGAGGGGTTTGGGTGGGGGTGATTGATTATGGTGATTTGTAGAGATGGAAGTCAACCTGTCAAGCACGTGTTTTATATATCATACTGCGCATCTCACATTCCCCCCCGCCCCCGATTGACTACTCGTAGAAGGAGACTACAAGTACAGTACAGTACCGGAGCTGTTCATGGGTCATCACTCCGCTTCCCCACTGCCTCTTACTCGACTCTTACTCCGGAGCATGCTCGTCCGTCGCCAGCCGTGACCACCCTGTCCTACTGGACCGAAATACCCTCCGTCCTCCCTCCCGAACTACCTACCCTAAACGCACAAGATCGATCTCGGACCGCACCGCCTTTTCTCCCTTCCTCTCCCCCCCCGATTAGAAGGAGTGGGCGTGGCGAATGGGAAAGCCCGCGCTGTTCCCCGTGCCACATGCCCCACTTTCACCACCACAACCACAGCCCCACACACACTCCGCGTGCGGTTGAGCGGCTGGGACTGGTGACAGGTATGTTGTACAGTACGAGTACAGTGTCGATGCCACCCAACAACGAGTAAATTACTTACCTACTTATATGCAGTGACTGATGTGTGTGGATATCACAATGTGCGTTTTGATTGATTGTCGAATCGTGGATTGCCCACAGCACGAGGAGTGAGGAGGGAAGATGGGTTCGTGGGTACAGGGTTGTAGGCGCTCTAAGCGCACGGGGGACGCATGCATGATAGGTACTCGGGTGCTGCATACTTACGATCAAGCAGCGCTTGTGAACACGACTGCTATTGCATGACGTTAAGATCTAAGTAAATGAGCTAGATTTTGGCGGTATGCAATAGCGGTCGTGTTACTAAATTATGAGTAGAACTCTGATGCTGGTGGGTGTGGGGGGAAACAGAAGTTTGCGTGCGTGGAGATCGGGATGATTTGCGACGAGGAGTGGGAGGGAGGATAGGGGATCGGCAGGTGGAGTTTTTTCTTCTCCTTTTCTTTTTTTTTCTTCTTTTCCGTTTCTTTTTCCTTCCTTTCTTTTTCCTTTTCTCCCTCGCAGGGGATGTAGTGTACTCGAGCAAAGTAGGTGTAGCCGATCATTATTGTGAGAATGCTAGGTTTGTTTGTCGGCAGTTACTGTGTAGCGATGTAGGCTAGTACTCGAGTAGTGGTGATGGCCCCGATGGATGGATGCACTGATTGGGCGAAGTATGCAACTGTAAACTCACTGCGAGTTTTTCTGTGGGGGGAAGGTTCGCATCGTAGGAGTGCTGTGGTGTGCGGTCACATGTTCGCCGTGTGCGGGCGGGGCATCGTGGCTAACTTACTGTACTCGGGTGTGTCGATAAGATGGCTGCAAAACTAAAGACTAGAGAGTTTGGCAGACAGGAACAACTGGGGGGGGGGGCAGCCGTGATATTGGGCAACAATGACTTGGTAATGATAAGTACGGCAGTCGGAACAAGAGCCTACACTTACAAAAGATACTTCCAACCCTTTCAGTCTCACGGAACAATATGGGTGAAACTTCAAGGCAGCTAAGTCCTGGTTTCTAATGTCTGTGTCGTTTTTCATTTCAGACAATTGTGATTGCCCGATCCCTTTGACCACTGTTTCACCATGGCTAGTTTCCGATTTTTATGGACACACCCGAGTACTTATGCATGTACTTGTACTCGAGCACTGTACGGTACAGTTGCTGGCACAGTATTCGAAGGGAGGCTACTCATAGTTAGTTGATCGTACAGTTGGGTGAAGGTGCTCTAATTGCTGTTTTAGTATTTGCACTTTTTGCACTTTTTTTTCCTTCTTCTCCTCTGCGCTTCCCGCTCTCGTCTGTGGGGGCTTGTTAAGGCGGGGTTTCCCGAACAGGGCTTATTTGGGCGATAGCCGTACTGGTACCCAGTGGTACAGTGCTCGGGTATAGTACCGGTATAGTTTGGTGCACTGTGTACTGTACTCGTACGATACTGGAAGGGTCCGGACTGGACTCAATACATAGGATTGGCCTCGGAGTTGATGATACGGTACTGTACTCGTAGTAGGTATTCTGCGGTTGGCACATCCTTCGGCGGTAGTAATAGTTTCCTCGCAGAATTCCCATTGCCACTCCGCAGGTGGTTGTGTGTTGACACCGCACCTTCTTTTGTAGGGCATCGGTACCCTACATGTACCCACGTTGTACCGGTAATGTATCACACATCACAGCGCCGGCGTGTTGAGCCGGTCGTGGTTCTTCCCGGACAATCGCCTGCTTGGGAGGAAGCATCGGATACGTATCCAGATGAGGGTCGTTCAGTCTTTGGCGGGTGCGTGCGGGGTTGATATCCACTTCCCATACGGGGAGGTAGTGTGGGGTTCGTCGTGAGGCTTAAAGTAATCGAGCGTCATACTCCGCTAGGTGGTTGCAAGTATCGTTGTGGGGGGGATTTCGTTAAGATGATAAGATCAGCCAAAGGACATCGCTTCTCCGCCAACCACAACTGTCGAATTCGGGTGAGGTCCTGTGATACCCTTCACCCTTCCCCGCTCCTGTGGGAAGTTCTTACCATAGGACACTTTAAGAAGTGGAACAATTGAACCTCGCGCGACAAGACGTTGGAGTTGCCTCTCCTAGTAAGGTCTGTTGTATTTTTTCTTTTTATGTATTTGTCTCAGTGGTGGTCTGAAAGCGAGTCTTTTTTTCGCCATGGTTCCCCCCTTTGCCGGTATCTAGAGAGGGGAATTCTAGATGTCTTAGCCTAGGGTTCAATTACCTGTATTCTCACTCTCACTCACGATATTTTCTTTTTAAGGTGAAGCGTATTTGCGGACGGACCTGCGATGACGGACATGTTTCCCTTTGGCACTCGCTTCGACTTTTCTTATTCTTGGTATGGCGTCCCAGTTTAGGGCGGACTAACGGGGTAACCTTGGCAGATGGCAGATGGGCTGAATTCTATTGGTACGATACCCTGGACCCTCACCATCTCTGCCAGCCCTGTAATCTCCAGATCCAAAAGATAGAAGCTCCTAGAGGGGTTATGATAGCCTTCTCTTGATATGGTGTAGGATCAGGCCACTGGATGTTTTGGATCCTATCGACCCGTTTTCGCAGTTCTGCTAACCGGTTGAATCAAGCCTATCGTGAAATGGCACAACTGACTTCCCGTGATACAGCGTGATACGGGTAGTCTGGTACCGGTACCGGTGCTCGAGTAGTGGATTTTGAGCCTTTCCACGCTTTCTAGCCAAGGGGCCATGCGCCTCTAAGACATACTAGTACCCTCGCACCCCACCCCGTGAATTCCAGAGGGGTAATTGTTTAAAGCCACGACCTTCGGGGGTGTCTTGACAGAAATTTCGCCATGATGAGTTGCACACGCTTGCGGTGATGGTGGTGGGAAGTCGGTGGGTAGATAGTTTGGTAGGTGTGCGGGTCCATGGTTTGGTTGATTGATATGGCGTGAGATCTGTGCTGTACCCGGGATTACGTTTCGTTCCGCTATCTTTCCTTTTTCCTCTCTCCTGGAAGTCCTTAGTACTTGAGTATCATAGAGGGGGAGGGAGATTGTACTTTTTTTCTGATACCGGTACTGCACTGCGCTGCATCAGGACCCCTCCGCTTTTATTCCCGTGGCGAGATCGCGGGATGTGGGTGACGGACTGTCGTTCGTTGCACCACTCACTTCCCCATTGCACAAGCTTTTCTTATTGCAAATACACTTAAGGATATAAAGATCCCACCGCTGAGCACGGATACCTATCCCTTCATGTTTTGAGTTGCACGGTTCAGGGGCTACCGTACCACACAGCCATCCATCCCTCCTTCTCCCTCTCCCTCTCCCACGGGCGAACACGAACACAACAACCTCACAGCATCATGTCCCAAGGCGAAGAGAGTGCAGTTGCGCCCGTAGAGTACCCCGAACTTAGCCCTCTCGAAGCGGGCAGTTCTCAAGATGTGTGTTTTTGACCTTTTCCTTCTTCCCTTCCTTCATTCCTTTCCTGGATCTCCCGCTCTCCCTCTTCCTACTGACTCAGGGTAGGACTCTGATGGGTACTTTAGTAACGACGTGTGAGCATTCCCATTTTCTATCCCTTAGAGAGGGGCTGAGGCTGACAACATCACCCCCAGGAGCGAAACTACATCCCTAAATTCTAGCATCCTGGACTACGAGTACGAGAATGGTTCGTTTGTTTGTTTCATCCTTTATTTGTGCACGTTTGTCTCATGGGTGGGGTTTGTTTGTTTGTAGGGAGACGGTATCATCGGTATCGACAGGGCTCCTATCTCATGCCAAACGACGAGGTTGGTCTCCCACCCACTCCTACCATAAATCAAGGTCTAGTTTTGCTAACCTGGCCTTCCGGTTTTACAGACGGAGCAAGACCGCCTGGACATGATGCATCATATATACCTCATGATGCTGGATGGGAAACTGCATTTAGCCCCTATCGGCGATAATCCGCAGAAGATATTGGATATTGGTACTGGGACGGGAATTTGGGCTATCGACATGGCAAAGTGAGTTGGCTTCTTTTGCCCGACGGGTGATGGGTGATCATGAGGGTTGCTGACTTGGTCATTCTTAGTGAATATCCTTCCGCGGAGGTCATTGGCACGGACCTTAGCCCTATCCAACCGCAATGGTTTGTTTCCCGGTGAAGAGAGAACAAGCTCTAAAAACGTAGGCGAAAAAGAGAGTTACTGAATAGCGTGGCTATTCCAGGGTCCCACCGAACTGCCGCTTTGAAGTCGACGATGCGGGAAGTCCCTGGACATTCTCGCCGGTTTCTTCCCCCTCCCTTCCCAAACCTGACCTAGCAAAGCCAATCCCACGCCTAACTTTGAAATCTAGGACTCCTTCGACTTCATCCACTCCCGCCACCTCTCAGGTGCGCTAACGGACTGGCCGGAATACATCGGCCAAGTTTACAGAACCCTCAAACCTGGCGCCTGGATGCAACTCAGCGAGTACGCGACTGACGTGACGAGCGACGACAACAGTTACCCAAAAGAATGCTCGATCAGGACCTATTTACACCTTATGAACTCGGCGGCCACCAAAATCGGACGAGTGATGAATGTGGCGCACACCTTAAAGGGAGTTGCGGAGGAGGTCGGGTTCACAAATGTTTCCCAGAGGATGTTGAAGTTGCCATGGGCACCCTGGCCGTCGGATCCGAAGATGAAGGAGTTGGGGAGGTTTGCGCTGTTAAATTGCGAGACGAGCTTTGAGGCTTTTGGGTTGGCGCTGCTGACCAGGGTTATTGGGATGAGCGCTGATGAGGCACTCCAACTTTGTCAGGATGCGAGGAAGGAACTGAGGAATAAGAAGATACATATTTACAATTTGCAGTATGTGCTCTTTTTCTCTATGGATTTTTCGGTTAGGGCTAATAATAGTTGGTAGCTATATTATTGTCGCGCAGAAACCGCTGGAGAAGGGGGGTGATTAATTTCTAGCTGGGATTTGTGAATGTTGACATGAAGTTTTTTTTTTTTCAGACCTTTTTCTTCTGCTTGTTTGATGGTAATAATGGGTGGTTGCATTGCATGTTGTAGTGCTTCTGGGTTGGAATGGGAATGGATGGAATGGTGTCGGTCTTGGTTGGATGATAACAGCTCCTCTGGGATATTAGTCTGCTGGCTATCACAATTACTTTTACACTGTGTCGCACTGCTAAAACCACTCGCTCATGAAGTGGAGTGTTTCGAATGGAGTGTTTGCTTTTTGTCATGATATTTCTTCAGATTAGCTAACCTAAAACTAATTGTAACTGTCCCGCGCACCATCCGGCACACCATCCAATTCACGGTTTAGTTCACCCGAGTGACGCCCTGTGACCGGCTCCAATCACTGTAGCAAGCAACAGAAATACCGGTGGTGCAGCTAACATTCCTGTACGAGTAGAGTATCTCCCGTCCATTGGTCCCAAATGCACCAGCCCGGACTACAAGTACAAGTGCATTCCGATCCAACACGTTAAGACCGTACGCGCGGCACCGTTAATTTCAATCCAGCAACTGCACAAATCACCATTCCTCCATACACCGGGAGTCACATATCACCGCTTATGCGCGCGTTCGCAACGGTTTTAGCGGGACCACGGCCAAGAGTACTCGTACAAGTGAGCGGAGTGGCGCGAGGAGCACTTGGAGAACAAGGCGTTAGCGGTCCAGGTTACGCCTAAGTTTGTTGGTATCATACTCCGATTTGCTTGGCGGTGCCGCGAGAATCGCTGCTGACGGGGATCAAGGTTGTAGGATTGTGACCGGCGTATGCGGGGGCTCGAGCGGTCGAGGTCGACAGTACGAGTACAGTCGTGTCTGAAAAGTCTACGTACTCACGGCAACGGCACTACCACTACAAATAATGATATTGACCACAACAAAAAAAAAAGATATGAGTACAATTTTAAAATAGATAATAGTAGAAATAGAAAAAAACAGTTTCCCAATGCTACCATTTTGTATGGCTTCCATCTGCATCTAATACAGCCTGAAGTAATCTCAGGCATCCTCTGAATCCATCCATGAAATGTCCTCTGGGGAATGAGGTCCCACTCTTCCTTTGCTGCCAGAAATAATTCAGCAGCACTATGGGGCCTTCTCTCAACCTTGGAGAATTGCTTTCTGAGTGCTCTTTTGAGAATTGCCTAGGCATTCTCAATAGGATTGAGATCTGGTGAGTTGGGAGGCCAAGCCAATCTTTGATATCCACAGTCCTCTTGCAATTTTGTTTTCTCCTCCATTATGCCATGATGTATTATCAGCAGTCATATAGATGGTTCGAGGAGCTCTGTCTATGGCTTCTATGAAGGGGATGAGGTAGGGTTGGTAAATCTCAGTTGCATATTGGTGGGAATTGAGACCGAGTGTCATGAATGTGGCTTGGGGAGGAAAAGGTTTTCACATGACACATGGTTATGAGTCACAGGTATGTTATTGTTTCACACATATGACTCATTTGAGTCATATGATTTGTTATGTGTGGGATTTGTAATGCTTTTGCACATGGCTCAAATATGAGTCATGGGACATGCGCCTGATGAGTATGCCTTGCGAGTGTGCCTTGCAGGTATGCCTTGCGCATATAATTTATGTTTTGCATATGACCTCGTTATGAGGTCATGGGTTTTACGCATATGACTCAGTTGAGTCATATGATTTGTTTATTGTGTTATGATTGGTTTATGAGTTTTTGCACATGACCATACTATGAGGTCATAGGTTTTGAGCATGTGACCATCTTGGTCATATGACTAGTTTGTTATGATTTAGTTTCGCACATGTGACCACTTTGGGTCACATGACTATGGGCGGGAAGAACACTATATAAGGAGGCTGATGTGGCCAAGGAGGATAGGTTCTTCACGCTTTGTTCTAAGTACTTTTCCTCGTCTTTGCCGTCGCTTCGCCCCGAGCGTTTCTTTCACCCTCATGGCGGGCCTTGATGCCTTTGATTCTGGGGGAGATATCTGAGTTCGCTCAGTAGTTCCTGGGGTCTTTGGTGTTGGGGTCTGTTAGGCATTGCGTGGCGGATAACTTGTTTGCGTCTCGTTTCGTTAGGCTGGTTATCTCACGATACTAGCACTTCGAGCACTCATCACGGTCGCATACGAGCCCCATTCGGTAAAATGTCTACGGCTTCCTGTCTATCGTCTACTCGCAGGTTTCGCGGTCAATTGGGGGGATTGAACATTGTGTTTGGGGGGATCATCCGTGTTGTTCTTTGGGCCAGCTCATGTTTTTTGTTGGGTTTTAATGGAGTCCTTAGTTCTCGCGATACAAAACGCCCTTGGGTTACACTGATGACCTTCCCAAGTATCAACACGTCGTACCGGCCGCATCAACCCACTGGGGAGGTGGCCTCGCTGGCCCCCCCCCTCCTCGTTACTACATGTTTCTACGGTCGGGATCCTACGATGTTGTTTATCACCATTCTCTTGGAGTTTTTGTCCTTGTGGCATTTACGGTGATTCAGTCAGGTGTCTCCTCCTCACACCCGTGGGGATGGCTTTGACCCTGAAAAATCTTACCCCCTGGTGTGGTGAGTGTTGCTACCTGGGGTGGTGTGGGACGATTGGCTGCCAGACACTCGCGTTGTCTGTGCATCTGGGTGGTTCGGTTGTGGTCTGTGGTTGGCGGCTTTACCCATTGCAAGTGGGGCCTACCTGCTGTTTGTCTGCTTCTGTTCATTCCCTCCCCCCTTCTTGTCGCGTCAGTTGGGGATGCCTCTTGCCTGTTGTTCAGTCCGTACCTGTTGCCAGACCTGTGGGGCTGGCTTTGGCTGGCTCTGCTTACTCTTTCCCGACTCAGTTGGATTTCGGTTGGGCTTGGTTGGTTGGTTTGGCTGGTGCCCGTGCCTTCGGGTGTTAGTGCTGCCTCCTTTGTGGCTCCCGGCTGTGGCTGGTGGGCTCCCCTCGGCTATACAGTGCTGGGGGTTGGGGCTCTGTTCGTGTGGCCAAGATCAATGGCTGCCTGGCGGGGCTGGCTATAAGCTGTCCTGTGGCCATCGGATGGTTGATCTGTCTGAGGGGCTGGGGGGGCTGGATGGGCTCTGTGGCATCTGGTGTGTGGGGCTTGGGGGGGGCTGATTGGGGGGAGAGAGGCACCTGTGAGCACCGGTCGGACATGCGCCTGGTTGGGCGATATCTAATTAAGTGTTTCCGGACCGGTTTGGGCTGCTGGGCGAAGCTGCTGAGTGCTGTAAAGCTCCCCGGCGGACCGCTGGGCTGATGGCCACCTGTGCGGATAGTGGGTTGCGACCACCTGGTTGGACTTGTTTGGGTTCTGCGTGCTGGGTGTTGTTGAAGTTTGTTTGGTTTCTTTGGTTTGGCAATGGGCATGGCTGGCAGGGGCAAGGCACCACGGGTAGGAGATAGGCCCCACTGACTATTTCGGTCTGTCACCACCTCTATGTATTTCTTTTGTTTATGAGTTTGTTTTGGGGGACAGGCAGCGGGTACAGGTCCTCCTCACCATTACGCTCCTTGGAGGCACTTGGCAAAGTGGGTTTATAGGGTCAATGGCCTGGCATGCGGATGCGAGAGGTGGACCTGTTGGTCACCTCCTCTATGCCATTGTGTCACCTGTAGTTTATATTTGTTTTGGTTTGTTGTTGGTTTTCTACTGTAGTGGAGGTGTTGCGGGATGGTGTTTAGACCGAGTGGTAGTGGTTTTGATTTTGTTGGACGAGGAACCTGGTTGGGTCGGTCTCTTGCTCGGCTTTGGCTACGCTTGGTGCTGGTTGGCTTCATACCAGAGGGGCTACAGACTTGGACCAGGGAGGGCATTGGGTTGTTTGATGGTCTTATAATTAGTTTCCGTGCGGGCATGACTCGGGGATGGCAGGTACGGGACCACAGACTTAGTTAGCCTAGGATTAGTGGTATACCGGTTAGCGGTATCCCTGTGCCGGCGGGGGCTCGTCATATGCCAGTGTTGGCAGTACGAGTTTAAATAAAATTAGATTGACTTCTAAGTACTTTTCCTCGTCCTTGCCGTCGCTTTGCCCTGAGCGTTTCTTTTGTACCCATGATGGGCCTTGATGCTGTAGATTCTGGGGGAGATATCTGAGTTTGCTCAGTAGTTCCTGGGGTTCTTGGTATTGAGGTCTGTTGGCATTATGTTAAGCGGAGACAACTTGATAGACTTCAAAGTTGTTTAGGCCAATCGAGATTCATTTCTGTAGACGGAGATTGTCTTGGAAGGCTCAGACTTTGCTTGTTTCATTTATGACTACTAGGAGTGAAGTAAAATAAGTAATGTAGGGTAGAATCGTAAAAACAATATTATATTATTAAGGTCTCTTCTCCGTTGCTTGATGATGTCTAAAGCTTAGGAGGCACTTCAATATTTATATTCCGCATCTGAGTGTTCGCGGACTACATCTATTTATGACACAACTATGTACTTCTTCAATCGTAATTCCCGATGTCGAGTTTTCTTCCAAGGTGAGAACACCTGTAGACCCTGAAAACCATCACACCCTTTTCGGTAATTACGATATTTCTTCTTAAGAAGCGTGCTGTCCCCAATAGTAATATCCTGATTAGCAAAGTCTTTAGACTTATGGCCTAGTTCTTAAGTCGAACTGAGTTGGCTCTAATTGTCTTCGCCACTGATAAAATGATCAGTTTTACCCACAGCTATATCTGCAAAGGTGGTCGTCATTACAACCATCGTAGGTCGTCTGACTCTGATCCTTTGTAACTCCATACCCAACCAATAGATTTTCTCTGGATGACTTCCTATTAACTCACAGGAAGCTATTCCACCTGATTGGTAATTATTCCCGCGGTTGGCAACCCTTGGTTGCTCTCTGGGTAGTAGGTTTCAGTAACTATTGTAGTATTGAGAATCACATCATGATTACAATGTATTCCGAAACCCAGTTGCAACACTCCGTGAAGTTTGTTAGCTTCTTTGGTAGTGTCATTTGGAGTTCTAGACTCTTCTGGTGGATGTAAATGTATTGGTCTCTAGTAGAGATCCTTTACCATTTGATATCATCTCTTTGTTCGAAATCGTCCCGTTACTTATGGCCCATACCAAAGGTATCATGTCTTTGGAGCCAAGTAACTCTCTGAGTAGTTGACGGAATCACTCTGTTCCACTTCCCAGACCTAGCCGAAGCTCTCCTCTCATCTATGCCGCGAACAGGATCCCGTCGGACAGACGGCGACAAAGTATATGGTATGATTCTAACACCTTCGATTCTGAGGTAATATAGTCACAGGGCGCAACTGAGATAGATATATATGATGACGCGCGGCCCCATAAGGGAGC